TGCAGTGGGGAGCAGGGGGAGTAGGCCCAGATTCAAAGCAGCAGGAGGGAAGGGGGAGTGGGCCTGGATGTGGGGGGGCCCAGGGCTCCATCTCTGCCTGCTCCACCCCTTCCCCCCACTTCATTCTTGATGGACAATTGGCTAGTGTGTGTGTGTATATATAAATGGCAAAAAAAATTGTCTCAGGACACGGGTGCCCCCAAATTTTAACATCATTCTTTGTAGCTCTTGTCAGCCCTTTCTGAGATGACAGTCCTGTAGGGCAATTCTTAGATGTTTCCCAAGGCAGAAGATGCCTGGTAGCAGATCAGTAATTGTAGTGCTCCATCGATCAACTGTAATTTGTTCTTAAGAGACAGTGTTAAAAATGAACTCCATGATGACATGGAGAAAGCAGGGCCTTTCTGAAAAAGCAGAGCTACCTGCAGACTCGATTAATTGTATGGTTATAATTGCAAAGCCAAATAAAGAACAGATACACATTGATCCTCATGATTTAAATAAAGTCATAAAATGTAAACACTGTCCTATGAAAACTGCTGAAGCACTGGCAACGAAGCTCTCTGAAGCAAAAGTATTTGGAGCATTAATGAAGGGGATGCACTTTGGCAGGTTACATTACATGAATCAAGCTGCAACCTGGTGAGTTTTAATGCACCTTTTGAACCTGCAGAAGGATCTGGATAGGTTACAGGGGTGGGCAGACAGGAACAGGATGCGTTTCAATACGGACAAGTGCAGGGTGCTGCACTTGGGTAGTAGGAACCAGCAGCACACTTATACGATGGGGAACTCCCTACTTGAGAGCACGGAGGCGGAAAGGGATCTTGGTGTCATTATTGACTCCAAGATGAACATGGGCCGACAATGCGAGGTCATGGTTGGCAGGGCTAACCGGACCTTGTCGTGCATCCACAGGTGCATCTCGAGTAGAGCCAGGGAGGTGATCCTCCCCCTCTATGCGACGCTGGTCAGGCCGCAGCTGGAGTACTGTGTCCAGTTCTGTGCGCCCCATTTCAGGAGGGATGTGGACAACATGGAGAGGGTCCAGAGGAGGGCCACCCGCATGATCCGGGGACAACAGGGCAGACCCTACAGTGAGAGACTGCGGGACCTGAACCTATTCAGCCTCCACAAGAGAAGGCTGAGGGGGGACCTGGTGACCGTCTATAAACTCACTAGGGGGAACCAGAAGGGTTTGGGGGAGACGCTGTTTCCCCTAGCCCCCGCTGGCATAACAAGGAGTAATGGGCACAAGTTGATGGAGAGGAGGTACAGATTGGACATCCGAAAAAACTACTTCACAGTTAGGGCAGCTAGGAGCTGGAACCAACTTCCAAGGGAGGTGGTGCTGGCCCCTACCCTGGGGGTCTTTAAGAAGAGGCTGGATGCCTACCTGGCTGGACTCATTTGAGTCCCGTTTTTGTTTTTAGGGTTTTTGTTGTTCTCCCGCCCTGGCGGGGGGTCGGGCTGGAAGATCTATTAGGTCCCTTCTGACCCTAAAACTATGAAACTATGAAACTATGAAACATTTCAGATTTAAGGAAATGCCATTTGGTATTAATTATGCTCCCATGATATCTCAAAGAGTAATTTCACGAGTCTTTGAGGCATTACAAGGTGTTATATTGGATAATGTTTTACTTTGGCTTAGGGTACTTAAAGAACTTTGTGAAAGACTTGGGAAAGTTTTGCAGAGAGTGAGAGAAAGATATGTTGCATGCATACGCTTAACTTGTGTCAATTATTGGTCTAGCAGAAGTTCTTTCTATTGGATGTAAATTGAGCAAAGATGGCTTAATTGCTAATCCAGATACACCAAAATATCCAGATACACTCCAATAACTGGAGTGCCCACTCCACCATGTTAAGTGGATCTCCAGAAAATGATGGGAATGATTAACCATTTGAAAAACTCATTCTAAATGTATATATGTATCCAAAATATTTAATAAGCCCTTTTGGGCATCATTGGAAAATTACATTTCTTGGCACTGGAAATGGTGACAGAAACAGGAGTCTGAGCCATTCAGAATAGAGCTAGTTCATGAAGTGCAGGCTAAGCTGGTGCAGCCCAAACATTTTATGAGACTGACCTGATGAAAGAGCTAGAGCAAGACTTCTCTCTCCATTTGGGGCCACATGGGCCAGGCAGGGATGAAATTAGTGGAGAGGACAGTGTTTTACATATTAGAGAAGAACTTATTGTTCCCCCAGCTCTGGGGAAAGAATCACTGGCTAAAATACACAGCAGCCATCCAGATACTGAAAAATATAAGCAAAGGGCAAGGTATATTTTGTTCCAGCCTGGCCTGAGTGCTCAGATAACAGTAATGAGAGCTTGTTGTGATATAATTGCTGCATAAAAAGCCCCTGGGAGAGCCAATCCAAGGGCATAATATGTAGAGAGACAATGCAAAAGCAAGGAAGGCATTTATTTGTATTTGACAAAGAGACTAATTACTGTTAGTTGACTACTACTCTGAATTCAAGGATATTTCAAAGCAAAGAAACACAAGTGGTAGTTATCCCTCTTAAACACACAGTGCACAACACAGTGGACACCAGAGGGATGATGGAACCCATTTGGCAACTGCCAAACTTCAGAAATTCACCAAGACCTCACCAGGATATTGCAAAGGGGAAAAACAGCTGTGAGAGCTTTTCAGACAGCAAAACATCCCTTACATCTTGTTTTGTCAAAACATCCCAGGGGTCTTGTTTTGAGAAGCCTAAAGATGCCTCTTACCTTGCTGTAGATAATCATCAACAGAAGATTTGGCCTCCCCAGCACAGATGCCAACTGGTAGAGGAATAAGATTGTATTTCCTGCAAGTCCTCAGTTATTCCAGCTTGAAGAAATTTAACATTTAAATGTTAAATGTTTAATTCCAATTAAATGAAAGGGACGCAGGAGAATCAAAAGTAGCAATCAGAAAGCTACCCTAACCCATGGCCCAGGCTAATGACTCAACCTGCCTGATTCCTGGGGCTGATAACAGCTGTTTCCACCTCTGCAAAGCCACAATCACAGGTTGGGGGAACAGATGCTCGGAGATGTGAAGAAATCACTGTGATTTACATGAAATACCTGAAGGCATCTCTCTACAAAAGGGAAACACTTAGCTCCTCACAAAGTCTGTCTCTGAGATGGTAGAATGATGCCAGGGACCAGTATCATCCAGAGCAGTCATCACAGCTGCCAGCTTGCCAAGGCTGTTAAACTCCTGAGGCACCTGGTGCAAGCCTCAGCATCAGTTCTCTAAAGAGAGTTGTGTTAGCAGCTAGGCCATGAGTGAATTAATCAAATAAGCACAGGGCTGAAATGATACAGTATCAAAAGGCCAGGAAAAGTCCATTGGAAGGAAGCATGCCAGAGGTTAGTAACATTTTCTGGCAGGAGCCTGGAAAGGCGTAGCACAAGTCCAAGGCAGGCTACAGCTAGGACCCAGCCACTGCTACCACTTCTTCTCCCTATCATTTAGTTGCATCCCAGAGGATGTGAAGCCCCTACTGCCAAACTTTGACAAAACCCAAGCTCCATGGGCTGGATCCAATGGCTCCGCAGTCTGGATTTAGCCTATGGGCCATAGGTTGACAACCCCTGGATTATGCAGCTGTATTATGTTGTTAATTCGATGTTGAAGCTGTTGTCTCAGAAGAGCTAGGTGGTTTAAAAGGGGAAAGATTTAAAGAGGAGTTTGAAGGGAGTAGCATGACAGTGAGTTTTCCCAGGAGATGATGCAATGCTGCCATGGGATTGCCCTAGAAAGCCTGAGCAGGGTGAAGCAGATGTGACTCCTGGGAGTGTAACAGAGTCAGACTGAGCTGAATGCAGCCAGCAGAAAGCACTGGACCTTTCCCTTGTCAACCCTACCTCCTACATCACTCATTGCCCCACTCTGTATGAAATGCTTTGCGCTCCAGTTGAAAGCCCTGTGGGAGTGCTGTGGTTATGAGGGGGAGGCCTGGTTGCTGTAATGGCAGTGGTGGGAAGGTGGAAGCATTGCTGAGGAGGTGCAGAGCATGGGCAGCATCACTGTAAAGGCAAAGCATGTGTGCAATGAGCAGAATGCAAATGTGACAATACAAAATGGACTCAAAGGAAAACAAGCCTGGGCTCTCCCACTGAACAGCTCATCCACAGGGACTGTGAGAGCCCAGTCGGGGGGAGTAGGTTGGTATCTGAGTGTTTACACAGGCTGGAGGGATCGGCAAGGGTGAATAGGTCCCCTCCCCACCCAGCCTTCTGCAACCACCCTTACCTGTCTCTTGGAAAGGGAGGGAGAGTCGTAGCAAGCATGACACGGTGCCAGGCTCATGTGCTCCGCTCCTAGGGTCAATGCTGGCCCCTTCCCATGATAATGAGGAGCAGGATACACATTGCAGAGGGAAGAAGGGAAGGCACTGGGTAAGAGGGACTGGAGTGGGAAATAAGAGCAAGAAACTAGATAATCTTCTGCAGGTACATGCATGGAGCCTAGGCCCAGCAGTGCATCCTTATGCATGTTGGTGGGTTTTTTTTGTTGAAGTGGTTATTTGACCCAGGTGAGCTGGATGAGGTGACCTCCATTTCTTCTGGAGCTCCTAGCACCCTGTAGACTGGAGGGTGCTGTGAGCTGAGCCCCAGGGGCTTTGCTGCCTTCCTGCCTCTGGTTTGAGAATCTGATTTCTCCCTGGCCATCTCCTTTAGCATCTTCAGAGTGAGACTTTCCATGTTCATAGATTCATAGATTCATAGATGTTAGGGTCGGAAGGGACCTCAATAGATCATCGAGTCCGACCCCCTGCATAGGCAGGAAAGAGT